AAGTTGTCTCTGTCAATTACAACGCCTAATTCATACTATTTTACAAGTAGTTACAGTTTGTTTAATATGATATTTTAGGTTTCACGTGAGTGGTTTGTTTCTATTATAAATCATCAACACGATATATGAATCATTGATTTATTTCGTTTAAGCATCTTTCCTTTACACCTGATGGAGAGTACAAGAGATGTTAATTCACATACTCTACCAACACTTGTCAATCTTACAATCAATGAAGATGGAATAAGTAATGCAATCGAAGATTTGAATTATATTGATTCACCGTTATCATCTCTTTATTCAAATCGTTTCATTTATTGGAATCCATCAACTTGTTCTGTTATGACAACTTTGCACTTTTACACCGGGTCTGGTAAGCGACCGATTAAAGGAGCGAAATCAATTCTAGACGCTATGGTAAATCTACGTGAGGAATTTTCTCTGAGGTAATTATTTTATTATCGGTAAGACAAAAACAGGTTATTTGGAGCAGTATATATATATATAAAGTCCATCATGCAAGTCTGTTCTGAATAGATTTTTTGAAGGATTTTCTCGTTCCTTTAAAATAATAAACCACTAATTTTTCACTAATTGTAACGTCTTTGGTAGTGATGTACTTTTATTAAAAACAATATACATTTTCAAGTTAAACTGCTTCTGTGACAACAATTACCTCATAATAATATTAATATATTCTGAAAATAATAATTACAGAACTCTTGTCAGTTTATAGGCATAATAATCTTGATATAGATAGTAATATTAAGTGTATAGAACAGATATGTGATATTTGATTGTTTCAAGTGTTCTAGTTCAAAAATTGTTTAGGTAGTACATTTTTCACACGTATGACAGCAATGAAAGGCATCAGCCTGGAACTTTTAATTCTTTTTAAGTTTACATTCGGTTAATGTATGAACAGTGTGTTTATAGTTATTCCCTGAACCATAAAAACGGAAGCAGAGAGTACGGAATAAAAAAGGTAATAATTACTACGAGAGGTTAGTTAGGTCTATCAGAATACGTATGTCAAATTATTTTATGGTCTACTATTCGTGCTAGATATCATTCAAATTAGTTAACATTACCAAGGACGTTATTAGCGTAAAGTAACAACATGTAGGGAGGTCTACTAAGTGATTTCAGTAGTAAAAACGATTAGACATTTGAAGTTTTTATAATCTCATTTGTGGAATAAGATACTCTCTCATGTCTAAGAACATTTGATGCATTTTCAGAAGAGAAGTAGGTATCAGTGAATAGAGGTCGGGATTTATTTTATCGCGGATAGATTTTGGTAGATCATTCCAGAATCTGGAAAATATATTGGTTAAATAATTTATATGGAGAGAGAACTGGCGAGGTCGTGTTTACGGCCTGCCGACAAGTCTCAAGCCAGGACAAAATATATGTGTGGTGCTCTCTAGTTTTTAATAGTTTCTTCAACCTAGATCAGTTCACTTCCTGTCCAACCTTGTATCAACAGTAGAATAAGAACTCAATATTTGAACGTGGGATTTAGTAGTTTTATGTTGGTTATTCAAATAATTTTATCTGGTTACTTATTAAAGCTTGTGTGTAACTGCATTACTTATAGTATGCTTAATCTTCAAATGTTTTGATAGACCTAATTCGTGGCATGAAGAAATCTCTGTTAGGCTAGATTCACACTGTTGGATTGTCTGTAGGCGATCTAATGGGCGTGAAGTATACATGGTATTCACAATTAAACAGGAAAGTTTACATAAATTAGAGGGTAAGTTTTAAATTCGATATAATCATTTAAATTTTGAAACAAGTGATTTAGGAAAGTATTTATGAAGTGAAGTAAATCGTAAATATTGAAAATCTTACTTTTCATTGTCATATTATAGTCAGATAGACATGAGACATAATCCAACTTATCACATGAAGTTGTTTACCTATTGAGATAACTCAATGTAGTTTTCAGAGAAAAGAAGGAATTTCTACATAACACGGCCCACTAAAGTTGTGTTAAATTTGTTCAATAGAAATCAATAAATTATAATAATCTATTTCAATATGTCATATGATTGTGTAAAATATGAAAACTTAGATATAATGAATAAAATAATTTGACATTACCATTCAATAAACTACTGTTTTAAACAGAAAAACAATAAGCTATTTCCTAAGTCAGAGATTATTGTTCGAATCCGGTTGATTTAATCTTTTTCTTGAAAAAAATACGGTTTTATCCTCAATATTGCCCATAAATGTATATATACGCAGTGTTTACTTTTGAAAAAATATAATTTTTCTCCATTCTCTCTTAGTCTCTATGTAGTTGTGAGAAATATGTATAAGTGATTCACATGTATCCTTAATTATTCAGTTGATCAAAACAGACAGATATAAACAACTATTCGGATTCTTGCATTTCGAAACATTTGTAAAACAAATGGTATGTTTTGAGCAGTGCCCTTTTTTCCAGCGTTTTAACTAAAATCGGTTAAAATTTTCCAAACTTTATTTAAGGAATTTAAATCGCATGTGAAACATCAAAAAAACTCAATCAATAAGCTAGTTGATTTGTTAAAGAATAAATTTATCCAGTGGGTTTCGGTCAACTCGATCGGTAGTACGAAGTTCGTGAATATTCGTTTTTTTAATCTTAAGGAATAATAGTTCTTGATTTTATAGACTAGTGCCATACTCTTTTCTATCTCTATTTCCTAAACTTTATTACATGGTTTATCGATATATTATGACTACCGTTAACGTTCTACTAAACGCCAAATATTTGTTCAATTTTATTGATTTTTGTATTACATTCCCATCGTCTTTTAAAGAAGCTATACGACATGTATATGAGACAACGTTTCGGGGTTTATTTCTACTGGACTGAAGGTTATCCGATTTCATCGTTTTTACTGTCTACTGTGCATCGATTCAAATGTTGTTTGGAATTATCATGCTTGAATGGTGTTTTATTGCATCAAATGAACTGACACTGGCTATGTGCTTGTTGTGTAAATGTGTTTTTTTATATTTGTGTCTATATACTTACTTGTATAGTATTTATTTCCCCCCGACTTGTTCTCCGATTTATATATGTGTATATGTATATAATGTCATCAAAGAAATAAATTACATTACTTGTTTCAAGAATATTGCTTTGTTTTCATTTTGTCCAAAAATAATATTTCAGTCGATGGCTACTGTTGTTATTATTATTGTTATCATTATTATTACTAAACGTACTATTATTCATTTATTATTTTAAGTACGCTGATTAATTCATCGGTACGTCACCATAAGCTGAAGCCAGATAAAAAAAAGGGTCATTCAAAACAATGTCTATTTCAATCTTATGACGGAACCTATTAGTGTGTTGTTTTCTAGTCTGTATTATCTGCATCTAATTTTAGTTCGATCAGTGAGAAAAACAAAAAGAAAAGTCACTTTCTGAAGATACATAATGATAACTTTTGTATAACATAGATCGGATACAGTTAGAACAGTAGAGTTGGTTGTACCATTTTACCTACTGGCTTATATTTTACACGCGCGAAAAAAGGTAAAATGCTATTGATTTAGTCTTGTAAGGAGTTGAATATATATCGTATCAAAAGTCTTTTATTTAAGACGGTTAAATTATCCACTCATGGATGTGCTAAATTTCATCTTGGAGTGGGTAAGCTTGTGATCATATTCTAAAACTCATGTACTGTTAGTATTATTCATATTATAAAACAAAGTTATCACACGACTAGGTTATTAGTTGACATGGACTTTTAAGAAAGTGATAAGTTGGTTTCCAGTCGAAAATCAAAATATATTTGACATAAAAATACTTATTAAAAAGTTAGTTATTTGTTCATGCACGAGAATCCAGTTACTAAGTATCTTATTAAATCGAACTGAACAGATCAGCTTTTAAACTGGGTAGTAGAAGCTGAGTTTTTAAACATCTAGCCACTCGCCGTTCCATATGAAAGTAATGACGTTTTGGTAAAGTTTATTTTAGTCAACCACTATCCTGTTCAAATCTGTATTTGATTCATAATTCTTACTATATGGACTATAAAATAAGACATCCCAGCTATTATATATATATATATATATATATATATATATATATAAATTGTATAAATTGACTGACTACTTAAACTTTTTAGTATTTCAAGTTAACTGACCATTAAAATTGTTGTGTAAGCCTGTATTTAAAATCGTGCATATTTACAGTTAATCACCACCGAGCGGATTAAGACTTGGATTGAGGGTTTCCTACAAATTGTCCCTGCTAAGAATTAGTATTTTAATTTCTAGTTGGTTGGTCACATATCTGGATCGACAGAATCCCGTCAGTACTTAAAGCCATGATATTTGATTGACCATTTATATTTTTTAGCTGTTATCTTGTTACATTTAGGAGGGTTTAGTAATTTGCGTCTTTTTCCAGACTTCTGGAAAGCATACGTACTTAATCTTTCTTACAACTCCTTTGAATTAGTTTTCCCACTCTTCCTTAATGGCTTTTGGGATCGGATTTTTTGACTTCGTAATGAAAGGTTTTTTATCAGTCAAATGAATCAAACTAAGAGGTAGGTTCATAGATGAAACCGGATGATGATCGTGTCATATTGTAAACTTTAAAGTTAGAAAATGTGGATTTTTCAAGATTCTAACTTATTAGTTAAATAGTATTCATTTCTTATAGGCAGCTAAATATGTTATATTCGATTCTGTATAAAGTATTGAATATGTACCGGTAATAAGTTGTAAATCAGGACGAAACACTTGTCCAATGCTCCCTAGTTTTCTGTTACTGATTTCTAGTCATAAAATCTTTTCAAATCACCTCATTTACATTCATTTACAAATTATAAATCTATTTGTATATTTGAGTTTGTTGCTGATATTCAACTAATATGTATGCATATAAATTGTTTTAGTCATTATTTGCAGCATTTGGATGTTGTCGACGTGATAATATATATGATGACGATTATACACTGCTTGATAGAGAATTGATGAAATCCTATGTGAAACTTGATGTACTCACTGCTGCTCCATCTGTACTCATTTTGAAATCCGGTTTAAGAATTTGTTCTAATGGTGCTGCTAGGACAAATATACCAATAATACAAGACTATGCTTATTACGAAGTGAAACTACAAAATTATGGAGGGTCATGGGGAATCGGGTTGTGTACAGTAAATGTAAGTTGTTTATACAATATTTTGATACATATTTTCTTGATAAACACTTTAATTATAAAAACACCTGTACACAATATAATTCATTACATATTATTCATTTATACTATCAATAAGCAATATATGACCTAGCACGTCTATTATTTTTGCTTTAAAATATCTCGTCTACGTAGCATTAAAATAAAATCATTGTTTCTACTCCTTTGAGAATAAACGATTTAGTTTATGGATGCGAACTGTATATCTCAAAGATAAAAAATATACGACGGTTGTTCGTATTCCATCATAGGTGTCTTCAAATCATTATTTTCTCATGTTTATGTGGCATAAATGCATCCACACTAACTAGCAAACGACCAGCTTGCTAGAGGTTAAGAGTAGTGTCTAATATCAGAAGTGGTTTTGTGGATATTATAGTAATTTTAATAGTTGAGATCATGAATCAATTGAAGCTAGACCACCATGAAAAACCTGGAAGCATTGGACAGCCGTTTCGTCTTATTGTGGGGACTCCTTGGGAGTGCTCACACTGAGTTAGAATCGCGCGAGGCAGGATCGTGGATGTGCACTGTTGAGGATTCCCACAATAGGACGAAACGGCTAACCAGTGCTTCCAAATTTTCCATGGTGGTTTAGCTTCAATGGATTCGCAACTATTAAAAGTAGTGTCCAAATTGGATAGGTCTTTGAAGTTATTATTTGTTAGTCCAGACCGTGTGGATGTTTATTGTTTTGTGTCCATGGAATAACTGTAGTTAAATTAAATCTTAGTGGGGCAGACAGTTTTACTCCTTATGATTTTCCGTTATATTCTGTTAGCGGGACATAGATTAGATTAAAGCATGTTCCATGCACGATTGTGTTGGTGCACGCTGATTGGCTAATTCTTATCCAATCAGTGCTAGTCGATACTTGGAGAATACTCTAGAATCTTCTTATGTAAAACTATAAATATACTAACGTATTTGTTATTGTGCTTCTTGCTTCCATCTACCCTTGTTATTCGGAATATAATTTCTTTCCTGTTCAACCGTGTTCTGATTTGGGGACTTGTCGAGTGAATTGATGTCCAAGAATACTAGGCAATAGGAATAGCTGGGTCGTAAAAAGAAAAAGTAATAACATATTCTATACTTTTCATTTTCTGATAACATTTTTCACATTTTGTTGTTGCTGCTAACATTTCCCTCATCTTATTTTTTCATGGTTATTGTCTTTTACTGTGCTAATGTGAAGTGTAGAAACTTGGATTGTTACACATTTTAGCCAGATTCTTCCTTATTCATAACTATCTGTCTGACAAGCACGTTAAAAATGCCAGAGAACAAAAGAAAACAGTTGCATAATTAAATGCGAATCATACACGAATAGTCATTGTATTTTATCTAAAAAGAAGCTATACTAGCAAATCACTTACGTTATTTGACTGTTAACTTGGCTGTGATATTATTTCAATATTTTGAACGTAAGCCTCATTTGTCGTATATCTGGAATCAAGACTTGCATGCTCGAAAATAAGTCGTCGGAAAATCACAAATATTTTATTCTGTTCATATTTACTACTAAACCTTGCTTTCAATCATATGTGAATTAGTGCCCTCTTAAAACGATGCCACTGATATATTCAAGCTAATATACATCCTTTGTTGTTAACTTACCATTTATATTGTGGCGCATATGTACCTGGTGCCCTTTTGTACCAATATATATGTGTTTAAATAAATAAATAAATAATACCATTTATATAGTCATATACTTGGCTTCCAGATACACTTTAGATATGAGGAATGGCGATACTATCTGATTGCTCGAACAGAAGTAGGTGTAGCATGGTTCGAAGCTGAGACACAGTTACTGGAATTCAACGCCTTGACTACTAGGGTTCCGTTTTACCTATCCTTTACAGAAAGGGACGAAGTATTTTAATTTATTATAAGATAAGAAATACGATGTTATCGTACTCTTAGTGTTAATTACATTCTATGTTTACAATGAGTCTAATAAAAACTGAAAAATCTGATTTCTTTGATGAGTGGAAAGACCCACCAAGATTAGTACAATACTTCCTGCAGAAGTTACTCAACCATTAACACACGGAATTAAACACATGAATCCTTTTTTCACTCTATCGTACCAACTATCGGATGACGTCTACGACATAGTTTTGTAACTAGAAAAATTAGAACATGTTTTTTTCCAACATTAGCAAGAGAGTGAACAAGTCCTCAATAAACATCGGTTTTCTATCACCCTATTGAATATTTCATGTCAGTGGTCCCTATTTAAATATCCTCATAACGTTTAGGCGGTCAGCTGGTACTTTATCGTCCATCCTGTATAATCCTCTTTTTCTTAATTGTTGTACGATGGCCACTACTCTTTGTTTCTCTCATTTGATTTCTGCAAAAATAAGAATTAACATTCGAAAGACTACTAGAGGCTGAAATGAATTTTTATGTTGCAATTGTTTACGTTTCGGAATTTTATGTCTATTTAGTTTATTGGGCTAACAATCGATAAGTGTATTTGACTATTTGGAACATGGTATTTTACTTTGGATATTGTCATTGTGAAGGTAGGTGTCTGTGTCATATCCTAGCGAAGACATAAGTACGGGTAATTTCCGGGACCTATTAATGGACGATTATTCTATATATATTCTTATTGTTTAACTATTGAGTAACGAGATTGTGTATATCTATATTCATCTTATTATAAGCTTCATTTTGACCTATGAATTATTATTATACGATTTACTGTTCCTAAATTATATTCAGTTTATTGATTATTGTATCTCACGTTCACAGTCACATTTGGCTTGATAATATACACATATTATTTTCTATTTTATGGTGTGATGCCGTCCGTCTGTCTAGTATATAAACAGAGTATGCTTGAAATAAATGATTCGCATAGCAGAATCTGCAATTGGTGTTTTTGGACTTAATGGGAGGGGCTAGCCGGACAAAGGACCAATAAGGACGCTAGACTACTCATACTGGTCGCACGTCATTGATTTGTCACAGTGTTAAGATCGGAAAAGTCGTATTTCGGTTGGTGGATAATTCACGTGATAAAAGCCGGACATAGAAATCAATAACGAATTAGCATACGTTCTTATATATTTTTTATAAAGTCATAACAGTTTGAACACAGTCATTATATGTGAAAAAATTATATTTGAAATAGTCTCAGTGATTGAAATTTAAATCATTCCGACATTTCGTCCAGCTAACTTGTCTGGACTTCTTCAGGGAAATAATCAAAATCATCAAAGAAATATATAGTGTTTTTTTAACAATCATATCAAAATCTATACTACTTTAATCCAATTTGCACTTTTATTCTTATTTTTACTTCACATAGAAACATATCAACACTGAATATCATTCATTAGCAACTCATCTTACACATGCATACACACACACGATTCATCCAGTCTCCTTTTATTTCACACCGTTGAATTTTTCACTCGATTCTCATTCAACTGACTCATATTATCCTGTTTACAAAAATTCGACATCCAAATGTGATTGGATTAAAGTAGTATAGATTTTGATATGATTGTTAAAAAACACTACATTTATTTGATGATTTTGACTATTTCCCTGAAGAAGTCCAGACAGGTTAGCTGGACGAAATGTCGGAACGATTTAAATTTCAATCACTGAGACTATTTCAAATATAATTTTTTCACATATAATGACTTCTCCATACTCGGCGCCCAATTATTGTCAAACTATTCGTTCTAACCTTGACGAATATTCGTATAAAGTTTGAACACAGTATGCTTAACAATTAGATGTCTGCGATATAGTTAATACTAATAACCCTATCAGTGAGATTTGTGTAATTTGTTTGAAATTAAATTTATAGTTCAGTGAAATAAAATCTACTTTAAATTTTTAAAAAAACATCTCACTGAAATTAAATTTAGATGTAGAAATTTGTAGTAAGTGAATAAAAACTTATGTCCTCTCGTTTTTCAGTTCAGTATCTTACTGAAATTTTGCTGTTAAATAAATATTCGGTCACACAGCAAAACTACAACGCCTTTTTAAACGTATCATATGCAATCGTGTATGAATCCGATGGAAAACTTGTATTAGATTGTTGAAATTTGAGAAGTTTATGGTTTGAGACTATAACATATGTCACTAAACATTGGGAGCACTTGCATATATTTTTCAAAATTACAGGTTTATGGTGTTCAACATTTGGGTAGATGGTACCCGTAAACGTTTTAACTTTGACTTACTGTATAAACAACTGAAATTATGTACAAAATGAGAAGTAACCTATTAAAGACATATTTCGACCGACGAAACTCCTGTTGGTTTTGAAAACCACTTTTCCTGTTCCCTCATTTGAAGTTAAGATTCCTAATGTTTTCACTTTAAACAGTTCATTATTTAAAATATTACTGTTTGTTCTCAAATTTGGCAAAAGCGAAATCTAATATTCTGGAGTCTCAAATTATAAACAGGCTTTGATCAAGTGCTTTAGAGGGAAATAAGTTTTGTAATCTCACTGACAGATACTGCTTGGTGAAAAAAATTAGCAAAATGGCTTTAAAAATTTTTTATGTGACTTCAGGATGCTGAAAAATCATAAATTATTGAAAGTTAAACGTTCTGAGCCCTGGTGTTCAACTCAAGATTTAAGAAATATCATGCTTGTTAAAAAGCCTAATGGTCCTGTGCTTGAATGAGTACAAGATCATATGTTATCTTTTCTAAAGAGTCTCAAACTGGCATGAAATCATTGTTTTCAGTAGTTCTCCAGCTGATGTCAGTTTGTGATAAAAACCGATCCCAATTCCGAAGGAATTTCCTTTCCTGTGATATCATTCAGATAAGTTGTGGAAATGTATCAAAACTATTGCACAGATTTAGAGTAAGTGTTGATAAATAGATTGGTTCCTATATTGTTATTTAGAACAACATATATAGGCGAACAATATTGTTTTCGATTAGATCCTCATCAGGCTTTACTCTAATATACAGTAATATTTATATGCATATACGAAATTATTAAACCAATCAAGGCAGTTTATGAGCCAATGATAACGGTGGAATAGATTACATTACTAAACATAATAAGTAAAAAGTACAAATTGGTAATGTGATGAAAGGTGTACTCGGCCCTAGATTTTGTGACTATGGAAATAAAATAAATCAACTTGATACAGATGTGCAATTTGAAAATTTATTTACACAAACAACAGGTTTGGTCCCTACTTCTCTCGATGAACTTACTAGGTTTAAGACCACATTGGTGGACATCTGCCAACAATACAAAAATATTAAATATATGCTGTGAAAACTCCACTTACCAAGCAGCATCGAGATGCCTTACATATGCTTAGAAAGAATAACGCTCTAATAATAAGCAAGCCGGACAAAGGAGGGGGGCTAGTTCTAATGGACAAAGCCGATTACATCGAAAAAATTAACCTGATTTTGAATGACACGATTAAATTTCAAAAACTCAACGACGTGAAAGACAAATACGAAAACAGAGAATCTGCTGACTAATTTACTTAAGGAATTTAAAAATAGAGGAATACTTACTCCAACTATATACGATTGACTTAAACCCAATGGATCGAACACACCGCGACTCCATGGTTTACCTGAAGTTCACATGACAGGTCTTCCTCTTCGTCCAGTTTTAGATATGTATAATTCACCTTACCATAAAACTGCAAAGCGGCTAGCTCGAATCCCAGATCCTTTACACAAACTAATCGTTAATAGAAGCGTGAAGGACGTTTTCGATTTCATTTCGAAATCTGGACATATGAACTTAAATGGGAAACAGATGATATTTCTAGATATCGCTTCCCTGTTCACCGATGTACTATTAACTGTGACTATTGACTTTGTATACCAACAATTACTTGAAAACAAGTCAATATTGAAATTTCCGAGGTTAGTCTTAGAGATTTACTTCTGGAATGTACAATGAATGTCCATTTTATCTTTAATAACATATTATATACAAATTGATTGTATGGCGATGGGTTCACCTCTAGGTCCTATCCTTGCTGATTTTTTTGCGAAACTAGAAAATGGACCTCTCAAAGATGTTATCGATAAGCTTGACTTCTATTGTCGATCAGGACATTGCAAAAGAATAACTATTTAACAATAAACACCTAGCCATTACATTTATATGTGAAGAGGAACTAGATAATAAACTACATTTCTTTGACATTTTATTAAACAGAAAGGCAAACGGTTCTATCAGCAGAATTGTGTATAGGAAACGTTCTTCATCAAGTTAGTACACACATTTCTTAACCTTTGTACCCCTTCATTATAAGAGAAACTTTGTCAAATGTCTGGCAAATAGAGCTAGGAAGATATGCTCGGTCGATACCTGTTCCTTTTAGAAGTTTGGTTCGTTGCACCAGAGTCTCAGTTTGAGATCCGCCGCATTAAGAACCAGCCGCAAAATACGCCTACGCTCTGGAAACCTTACCTGGGGATCATATAGACACTGTCCGTGAAGTTGTCTTCAATCCTAGTATACTTGACGTCTACGGTCGTCTCAAGGAGGCGATTCTCAGACATTTCCTCCCATCGAGGGATGAACGGTCGAGGACATTATTAGCACGTCACCCCCGGGTGATGCTAAACCGAGCCACTACCTCACGCGCCTGCAGTCTTTAGCAAGACCCACGACAGCTGACTCCGAAATAGTCAAGGAATTGTGACTCAAATCTTTACCAATACATATACAGCCTACGATCACGACCCTGTTCGAGGACACACCACTTATCCAGGTTGCCCTCGTAGCAGACAAATATTAGCGACGACTGGCACTAGGGACAACTATTGAGTTGCCTCAACGTCATATTCGAATGTAGGTCTTGATGCTAGTCGCTTTCCAGCTCAAGGGGATCGGGGTTGCTGTATACATAGCTGTCTCAAGTTCCGAGACCATTCCATCACCCCGCGTACTTCGAGCTATGTCGCGGTCACGTAAAGCTGTAACTACTTGCCCTAAGCGGGCACCCTCCAAGCCATATGAAATTCGTAACACCCTTATCTCTCCCTTGGCCTTAATAAATGATTTTATTTTCCTTCACTCCCTCCTACCATTTCTTTTTCCTCTAATATACGTTTCGCGGTCCAATTATCTGAACATTTCTTATTACGTAATCCTATAATTTTTATGAATGTTGTTGCAGTGTCTGTATTTTTCTAATCATTGACCTGTTTCCTATTATGTAACATTGATTCCAGCCTTTATTATTATCACAGCTAGTACACCTGTCATCACACTACCAATTTGTACTTTTTACTTTATTATGTTTGGTAATGTAATCATAAACTGCCTTGATTGGTTTAATAATTTCGTATATGCATATAAATATTACTGTATATTAGAGTAAAGCCTGATGAGGATCTAATCGAAAACAATATTGTTCGCCTATATATGTTGTTCTAAAACAGATCGGTGTTAAAAAATTATTCTAGAGTTTTAAATTTAAGATTCTGTACCAGTTGTTTAAACACTCGATCTTTAGTTATTAATTCATTGTTCATAAATCTATCGCCCTTAATTGTCTGTGGATAATGCCTGCAAACTATGTTTAATAAATGTCGAATTAGGTGGAACACAAGAACTTTTACTTGTTTCATTCTCCTCTTACACATTTCATTTTTGAAATTTTCATGTTTAACTGGGGCTCTTTTACATAAGACACCTAGTTATAGTACTTTCCATAACACTATTACAATAACATTGTTTATAACGAACTTAAATGAAGTAGATCACACACCTTTGTTTTAGTATAGTAGCCACAATTAATTAGGCAGTTATGATAAAATGGTTTGAATTATTTTTTCTGGTTAGCGTTTTTTTAACCAGTTAGTTTTTCTACGGGATGGGGTCGCTAAACCCATGCCCAACCCTCCTTCTTTACCCGGGCTTGGGACAGGCAGTAACTCTGAAAGAGCTACAGGCGGAGTTTGGCCTCGACATACACAAAGGAAAAAGCAAGATTCTCAACAACACGGAGAACACCAACGCAATCACACTTGATGGCAAACTTCTGGAAGAGGTGAAAACATTCACGTATCTGGGTTGCATCGTTGATAAACAAGGAGGATCCGATGCAGATGTAAAGGCGAGGATTGGCAAAGCAAGGGCAGCATTTTTACAATTGAAGAACATATGGAACTCAAAACAACTATCAACTAACTTCAAAGTGAGAATCTTCAATACGAACGTCAAGACAGTCCTACTGTACGGAGCTGAAACGTGAAAAACCACTACATCCATCGTCAAGAAGGTACAAGTATTTATAAACAGTTGTTTACGCAAAATACTCAACGTTCATTGGCCGGACACTATCAGCAACAGCGTTTTATGGGAGAGGACAAATCAACTTCCATCTGAAGAGGAAATTAGGAAAAGACGTTGGAAGTGGATCGGACATACATTAAGGAAATCACCAAACTACATCAAGAGGAAAACGTAACTTGGAATCCGGAAGGGAAGTGGAAGGCTAAAGAACACATTACGTCGGGAAATAGAAGCAGATATGAAAAGGATTGCCCAGGACAGAGTTGGATGGCGAATGCTGATCTGAGGCCTATGCTCCTCCACAAGGGGTAACAGGCGTAAGTTATGATAAAATGGATATAAGGATTAGAACTTTGATGTATGCCGCACAAACTTCTGTCTGTTCAGAAGGTTATACTCACTACAACAATCATACTTTACAGTAAATCAATCCCGAAATAATAGAGATTTGTAGTTCAGAGGGATGATTTTGTTGAAACCGCGTTCTCAACTATGATGGTTTATTCGTGAGGTTTTCATTGTCTTTCTAGAAAAGTTATTAATAACTATGAGGCCAAGAGTCAAGCCGAAGATGATCAAAATTGATGCTCAAACAATGACAGAACAAGTGAGAACAATCAATCAAGTTCAAGGTCGTCAGATCAAGTCACTAGTGACCTACAGAGAAATTCTCATGACTCAATTCAACTTTATGTTTGTGCTAACAATGTTATCTAGAAAGACAATGAAGGGTTCACTATTAAACAACACAGGTCAGAGAAGACAATCTTACCATTTTTTACTTCAATTTGTTACCATAGAGAACGTTGTAATAAATAGCGGCTTATAATTATATTCTAGCTAAATGAATCGATTTCTTGATGAATAAATTTAACACTCAGTCTTGTAAAGTTTGATGCACAAGATTTTTGTAAATGTTTCAACTAGTCGTAATCTTCTTAAAATTTACTCATACCAACCTCATAAATCTTTCTTTTTTGAAGTCAGTAACTTCTATTGTCTCAGTTGTTATGTGCAATTAGTAAATGTTGATTTACTTCCTTAATTTGAATTCTTCATCGAATTATTTGTTATTTCTAAAATTAGACTCTATTGGATTCTATTAAGTCGCTTACTAATGATTCATCATGTTGGATACTTAGAAACGATATGAAAATATGGAGTCGTGGTCATGTGATTGGTCAGCTGAAACAATCTGTTGAAGAGGGTGATGTAATTGGAGTGATCTATGATAAAGGGGAATTGAGATTTACAATCAATGGAGATACTGCTCATGTGTATTCAGATCAAACAGAACAAATCCCACTATTTATTGACAGCACTGGTGAAGTTCTGTATCCTGTATTAGGTGTGGAAGATGGTACAGTGTTGGATGTGGCTTTTACGGCGAACTCATTTAATTACCCACCATTATCGGTTGAAGGATTCGGTGAGATAAAATTCCAGAAAGAAGTTACTTTCTAGATAAACTTTATTATTATTATCATTCCGTTCTGTCTATCTGTCATTTTATAAAAAAGCGCCACTGATTTATAGAGTACATATCATTCACATCAGGGGTATTCGGTTAGTTTTATGATTCCAAAATTTTTATATGATGCTTATATGTAGTTAAGTTAAACTAATGTTTTTACGTATTATTTGGCCGAAAACTAAACATACTGTGATCGTTTTTCCTCAAAGAATCACATCAAAAAGATATTTGGTTTCACAAGGGTTTATCTTTCTTTCTGTATTTCCTATGTATTTTATTTTTATTGAGACTTGGTAAAACTTGAGTGTAATTGAGTTTATTTCTAAATGAGTACACTGTTGTAATTTTCATTGAATTTCCTGCGTATTAATGTCCCGTGTTTGAAGATAAAATTTTAGCATGAATTAAAATCCGTCAGTTAGTCATTTACAACTTCTAGACCTATTCACAATCTCTACCGTACACAAGACTGGGTTTTATAATGGGGATTCCATCATCTAGCCGGTGTTTTGTAAACTCAGAGGATCTATGACGATCATCTAGTTTCGTCTGTATGTATAGCTATCACTCAGAGGCTTGTACCTTATTCGTGGAAAAAGTATTGATATGAATGTTCTTCAATTGTATGATTAAGCTGACATCTGAAAGTAAATATTTTATTGTTGTTACTATAAATCCTTAGTTGATTCGATTTCGTGTCAAATGCTTACTGTTGTTATCGGCTAATTAAAAGGTTTTGAAACCTATCTCGTCAAAAAGTAGTTAACAACTGGTCAGAATTCCCAAGTAAACGCTTCTCATAGAAGGTACATAATTTTATCTGTAATAACTTGCGTCAATGACATAGTTCATTAAGAGGATAGTTCTTAATATTGTTTCATTAAATCAATGAGGATTGTTTCACATTTAATTTGTGTTTGAAGTTAGGTCCAGAACTTGATTTTCAGTGGTTCTGTAGAGGATATCAGTTATTTTACTCCATTTGGTTTCTCTAGTCAACATCATATTTTGAGACAAGTGATGGCTGATATGACATATCTCAACTACCTTAGTAGAAATTTTACAACCCTATTCACTAACTCGTTTGCTTCACTTATCTTAATCGATGTTTCTAATACAAAACTGATGAAATAGATTTCTATTTTCATTGACCATGTCTAGTAGCCATCTAATAAAACACAACACATTATGTTGTAAATTGCTCTCATCATCATCCCAAGCACTGATGTTTAATAAGTTTTTAGTGGACTTCTTACATACACGTTGTTAGTTCATTAGTTACTAAGAAATAAAATCAGACCAATAACCAGTACATCAAGTCAATTCAAATCGTGAAATCAAGCATTGATGAAGACTAGTTTTGAATTGCTGTTTCGAAGTTAGCGACTGACAAACCCATGCTATTTTCAGACTTTCATTCAGGATATCGAATTTGTTTGATGAGTTTTGGTCACTTTCCAGAGACTTCTTAAACAGTAAACCAAAATAAGGAAGACCGGGAATATTGTGTGAGTATATATCTTAAAGTTGAATATAAATAATGTCGCTGAAGATTACTTTTCGTGTTTGATTCAAAAGCATCTCAAACATCCGGATATTGAAGCTTAATCTTTTGTAGGGCAACATACTTAGTTTTCGTCTTAAAATCAACTTCGATATCAAGACGTATAGCCCCATGAAGTCAAAGTCCAGCGTTAAATTTGAGAATATGTCGTAAATAGAGCGGAAGTAAATAGATTTATAAGAATAAGATTTAGAGTAGAAGTTAGAAACGAGTAATACAGTATGTCCATCTGCTCATGGTTACAATGATGGCCAGGATGGGTTTCTTTGCTGCCGGTATTTTGTTTATGCTTGACAGTTGATACCTTTCCGAGGTATCTGATATAAAATCTTCACATCCAAAAATACATTCAATTAGGATATCAAAAATAAGACAATTTTTTAGAAAAACTGACTTCTATGCTGTCACCCTTTTCACAAGGTCTTATTACAGAGAAATAGTAAGTTTCGGTTATTCCTAGGATATTGAGTTGGTAGACGTATAGCCGATTATCATCGCTCTGAGAAAAGATAATCGGCACTATATTATGACTCACCTAGTGGTGTTTCGATAACCATACATCATAAATAAAGCACTCAAACTAAAACAACACAATTTTTTTCAAATTCTAAGTGACCTTTTTGGGCAATATGACGTAGGCGAACTGGTACTATGGTGCTAAATGAAAGCCTTAATACATCAAAATGTTTAACATATTTCATTCTGTTTTTAAGGTGAAGATTAGTTGGAAAATTGTTTCGCACAAGTCAAGGACAATGAATTCAGTCTATGATTGTGTGAAATCAGTCAGTCAGCGACAACGTAGGACCAGGCACACATATGCATCGGTCCAAGTTGCCACACCTCGTTAGCACGACAAGATGAACACCGGATTCATAGAATTAATTTAGTGGTGGTAGTATGTAAAAGATAGGTTGTATATAAGGATATAGTATAGGAAGGAAAAAAGTTATGAAGCAATTTTAATTTTAAGGGGAGATAAAGAGTGTATACACCTACGCCATTGTGATCGATTCTGAGCCATGTCACCCAGAGTCTCCAACCATTGGTTACGATAGTCACGTGGACCCCAACCAGGTAGTCTGCATCTGCCAACATGGCTCAGACTAGAAGTTAGTGACTTCAAGCACTGATGTCACGTTTTGGTTTGGCCGCCCCTAACTCTTTTCCAACCATCCCCTACACTGGTCAACATTGCGCGTCGTGGTAATCGGTGTTCAGGCATACGTAACACGTGGCCCAACCATCTCAGTCGATGAAGATTCACAACCTCATCAACTGATTTACCATCATTCCCTAATACCCTGTGTCTAACCTCACTATTACTTACTCGGTGATCCCATCAGATGCGAGCAATATTTCTAAGGGATCTGTGGTCAAATACTAGTAACTTACGAGTATCTTCTACTCTTAATGGCCACGTTTCGTATCCGTAAAGTAGAACAGAGAGAACTGCTGCGCAGTATACTCGTCCCTTAATTGATAGACGGATATCTCGTCCTCGCCATAGGTGACGTAAGTTGGCAAAAGCCAAACGAGCTTTTTGAATCCGTGCTGAGATTTCGTCAGACACCAACCCATTAGGGCTGACCAGACTTCCAAGATAAGTGAAGTTGTCGACGCGTTCGACTACATCACTCCCTATCCTTAGTTCAGGTGCTGACGCAGGCCAGTCCTGGAGTAACAATTTACATTTGGATGGAGAGAAACGCATCCCAAACATCCTGGTATTATTACTCAGTTCTAACAGAAGACTCTGCATTTTGCCAGCGTCTTCACCAAACAGGACTATGTCATCTGCGTATTCTAAGTCGATAAGTGAACCTCCTGGTAGAAGATCAATTCCTGAAAATTCAGTCGACGAGAGTGTTATTTCCAGCAACAGGTCTATAATGAAATTAAACAAAAATGGGGATAGTGGACAGCCTTGTCGGACACCACTTGAGGTTGTAAAATCATATGACAGTTCGCCATAAGCTCTCACTCGGCTGGTAGTGTTCGAGTAAAGAGCCTTCACAAGGTTTATGTACTTCCGAGGTACACCTTTTAATGACAGACACTGCCACAGAACCTCTCGGTCTGCAGAGTCAAATGCTGCTTTCAAGTCAAGAAAAACTATCATTGCCGGACGCCGATAAGCATGTCTGTGCTCTAAAACTTGACGAATGGTGAATATGTGGTCGATACAGCCACGACCAAGTCTGAAGCCAGCCTGATTTTCTCGTGTTTGCAGTTCACGAGTCTTAGTTAGGCGCCCGATAATTATTGAGGCTAGTATTTTATATGCTATGTTAGTCAGACTAATCCCTCTATGGTTATCACAGGATGATTTTGGCCCCTTCTTATATATTGGGACAATCAGAGATTGTGACCAGTCGGATGGGATTACGTCCGTCTCACAGATTTTAGCCAGAATATTAGTCAACCTAGTCGTTAAATTGGGCCACCATATTTAAAGACCTCTGGAGCCAATCCATCAGGACCAGCTGCTCTTCCTCGTTTCAGATTAGTTATAGCCTTTTGAACTTCAAGTAGGGTCGGGGGGCCTACTTCAATGTTCCATTCAGGTTTTCTGGGAATAGTGGGTAGTTGTGCAGTAGCTGAAGGCCAGCTAAACTGCTCCTTAAAGTGTTCCGCCCATCGTTCTAAACGTTTGGGTTGAGAGCAGATAGGGGTTCCGTCTTTTTCCGAGATTGTCTCACTTACACTTGACTTCTTAATTCCGGTTTCTTTTATTAGTCTGAATAGTTGCCTGGTGTTGCCTACAGCCGCTGCCTTTTCCATCTCTTTTGCTTTCGTTGCCCACCACTGCTCACGATCGTTCCTTAGACTTTTAGTTAACCTAGATCTAATTTCTTTACGCTCTTCGTCATGTTCAGAGCCTGATGGGATGAGTTTACGCGAATCCATCAGTGAAATAGACTTAGAAGAAATCCATTGGTTTTTTGGAGCTCTATGGTTGAAATGACTAATAGATGTGACTGTTGTTTCCACAGCTGTTCGTATGTCTTTCCAAGCAGTATCTGGGTCAGTCTTGTTTACAGAACTGCCCAGATGTGAACTCAGTTGTTTCTGGAATTCTCATTTGGCTTTCTCGTCCTCCAGTTCAATCCTAATGGGTCTTCTTAGTGTACTTTTCCTGCGTCCATTGAGGCACAGACAAATGCGCGCTCGTATTAAAGCGTGGTCAGAGTCTAAACAAGTATTCCAATATGAGCGACAATCTTCTATTGAGCCTCTCCAACGATGACTGATGGCAATATGGTCTATTTGAGTCCATCGTTGGTTTGGTGCAGGTGGTCGCCATGTTAGACGATGTCTCTCCTTATGCTTAAAATTAGTGCTTGCTAAAAATAAACGATTGTCTGAGTATAGTTGCAACAGACGATCACCATTATCGGTTCGTTGAGCCGGAATACTAAAACA